GGAAGAGGTAGCAGATACTGATGAATGATGTCATTTCTTAGAGAATGATTTGCGGCTTGCTTATAAAAATTCCCTATTAAAAACTATATTTTTTTCCTTTTTTAATCCTCTAATTTCTGTAGTGTTTTTTTTTCTGGAATATTAGTTATTATTCAGATTGCTGTTGCTGTATGTGTGCAAATGGTGCTGGATCTGAAAAGAAGATGAAGTGTTCCAAGTGACACAACTGACAGCAGCAGACACACGCTTCGGTAGTGTCAATGGAGGGAAAGTGTTTCCTTTTGAAGGGCCAAGATGAGCTGTCCAGGGCAGAACTGTCGCTAATAAAAGGATTTATCAAAAACCGGTGGCACTTGTTGCTGTTGGCTCTGTGCTCCGCAGCTTTCCCAGAGGTTAAGTGCTCAGTCGACAGAGTAGCAAAGGAGTTGAACCTGTATAAACCTGGAAGCTAAAGTGCTTCCAGACAGTTATTCAGGGACCGTTAATTATGCAGAGAACTTGATTTATAACTGTAGTAAAGATAGACCTTGTACAAACCTGTTTACCGATCTGTTTCATTCTACAGGTTAAGTGAAATCTTTTCCTTTCTGAAACAGGTTTTACTTCTAGAGAACATCCCCTTGACATCCTGACACTGCCACTTGGGCACTGCAAAAACATGTCTGTGACTTCTGTGCCTGTATATGAGATAGCTTGCTTGTTTGCATATACTTAGTTCAGGAACAAGTAGGGCCTACAGACCCACTGAGTTGAGTGGGTTTTACGATATATAGTAGCTCCATATATCTGATCTGTTGGGCTCTTTCTGATATCCAGTCTGTGTTAGATATGGCTGCAGCATAAATTTGCCCAAACGTACTCTGACCCGCTTCAAATGGGAAGCAGCTGCAAGCATTTAAACATGTGCTAAAATACAGCGGTCAATCCAGGCAAACAGTGAAAACTTACCAAGTCAAAGAAGTAAAATTATTACCAAATCATTAATGCTGCATTTTGCCCTAAGCACGCAGAATGACCTGAACAACATCCAAGGCAAAGTATTTGTTTAAACATTGTTTCCGTTCACTAATATAGTGGTTATAAGAAGAAAACAAAATACATGTTCCTTTTGCTTACAGATTTTTTTTTCTGTGAAATTCTCATATTACCAGATCTTCAAAGTCAGTAAGACACACAGTTCCATAGTTAGATTTCATACCAGCTTTTGCAGAATAAATTTAAAAACCTGGTTTTGCTTTATTATGCTTTGTACTAATGATTTTGAGTGTGTTAGTGCCAGGTGTGGGGAACCTGTCATGTTTTAATAGGTTTCATGCTTTGCCACGCTAAACAAGATGATGACCTGGCTCCTTGTAACAACCCCAAATGACATGAAATGTATAGGTGATAAACTCAGGCTCTAGTCTGCCAGTGAAGTTAAGTGAAACTGCACACAGATCATCAAAGTGGGATCTCATTTCATTTACAGTATTACACAATCCAGTAGTGCTAATGTAAAACCTACATGACGTGAGAGTGTCAAGGCCAATCTGCAGTGCTAAAGGCTCACTTTTCTTCTACCAATTAGACAATACTTGAAAGACAAAACCATGACCATTTTCCTTATTCCTCATAAATTTATTGGCAAAATTTTGTTAAAAGAATGCTGCTTCCAGGGTGGGTTTTTTGGTTTTGTTTTTGTTTTTTTTTCTCTTTTTCCCTGAATATTGGATGTAGTTACAGTTGCTGCTGAGAAAATCTTTAAGCCAGCTCTTTAGAAGCTTTCTTAAGAAGTGTTGTCTATTTTCATGTGTTTCAAAATGGCTCTTTAAGAGGAAATAGTTGCAGAGAGCACGTAGCTATAGAGGTCGACAAGCACCTCATCGATGTGGCTGCGGGAGCTGAGCCAGAATAGTGCATGGGGCCTGATCCTGGCAGGAAAAACAAAGCAATAAGCTCGTGCACCCGACCTGGTGGGTGCCCTGTTGTCATATTTTACAAGCCAACCTGGAGCAGCCTCACGGCCGATGTAGAAGGGCAGACGGTGGCAGTGTAGAGTCTTACAGATTTAGCAGTAGGCTCCAAACCATTCGCTTTGTCACGGTGGAGCTTGTGGACTGAGCTTCCGGTGTAAGAATTGAAGCAGACGCATCAGTCAGCACCGTCTTCTGAAACGGGATGCAGTTCTTGGAACGATGCCCTTAGCTGGTTTACCTCACAGAGGAGGGCTAAGAGATCATTTCATTCCTCATGAAGAGACATAGGGTGACAATTTAATACACTTTGAAGCCCCGTCTGTCTCCTTAATCAAAGGATGTTTCCACCCACCCTCCCTAGTCCTTGAAGGTCCTAAGAAGCTCCTGCTTCTGCTCCTTTTCTTGCTGTCTAGATCTTTTCCTGCATCAGGTTTTTGAATTCCTCAGCTGCAAGGATCTCCACTCAGAGCCTTGTGGAGGGAAGAGGAGCGTGTGTCTCTTCAGGCAGTTCCAAGGCATAGCGGTCAGTTCCCAAAGAGGGGAAGTCTCCGGGGACCTCCTACAAAGAAGAAGCAATGGCAGCAGAAAGAGCAGCAGTTTAGGGACACACTGTTCTCATTTGATGGCACCAGAAAGCTTAAGAGCTCCAGAATTCATTCCTTGATTTCCCTTTTTGGTCTGGAGAACCCTGCAGCACAGCAGGCACCACGCAGGGCGGGCAGGCCAGCCCCTCACCAGAGAGTAGCTCCACGCACTTCGTGTGAGCGTGTGACACCGGGCACGTTGTCCTCACTATGACAATACGCTCTAGGCACTTGACCACGCTGCAGTACTAACTTACCCCTCTAAACACATAGCAATTTCTACTGTTTTCTTAAACTAGTGTTGGATTTGCATGTTAGGCAGTTTCTGCTCAGGAGTAGGGATGGTGGTGGTGGAAGCTGTGCAGAATCCCAGGATGGTTGAGGTTGGAAAGGACCTCTGGAGCTCATCTAGTCCAAGCAGGGGCACCTAGAGATATGGAGGATCTTACTCTGCTCATTACTGAGGAAGTGTTTGATAGAACTGTTTTTGAAAAGAAAGTTACTGAGTAACTTAGTTATATTAATTGAACAGAAAGCCTTAGGAAAAAAAAAAAAAACATTGTGTTCTGCATGTTGGATTTTACAAGGCTGTCTAAGGGTGGGCTTTTTTTGTTTTTTTTTTTGAGGGGATTTATTTGTATTGTGTTCCTGATAGGAGCATATAGTTATTTCTTTCCTCCTACGGGAGTTGAATGGTTTTGAAAGTTCAGCTTCAGATATGTGAGTATCAGAAATAATGCTAGGAGGGTGCAGTGCATAGCCATTAAACTGAAAGACTTTAATTTGTTTATTCATGTTAATAAAATCATTGCTGAATTAAACTATTTGTATTGCTGCAGCTAATTGGGTTAACAAGACAGATTTGTTCAGCCTCATCAGTGCAGTGTTCAGAAGCCTGATAGTGATTAATCATACTTCTTTTTTTCTCCATAACATTCATAAATGTTCTCAGAGACTGTGTAGCATCAGCGTAGCTTTTTTTTATATTCTTTTCTTCTTTTCTTTCAGAGGTGCCATGAAACGAGTGGTGAAAGCAATGAATCGAGTGGACCAGAGAAAGCATGAGAAGTTTGCCAACCAGTTCAACTACGCACTGAATTAAATCATAACAAAGTGAAGGGCAAAGAGGAGGAGTAAGGAGTGTTGCCATATAAAACCTTTATCACAGAGCTTCATGTTTAAACTAAAATATTGTGCTAATCATTTTTACTGGGATTATTTTTAATTGTTATCAATTTCTAACTTATTTGATCATGAACATGAATTTTGGCAAAGATGTGGTGTAACTGAAGAAGTTCTATAGCTTGTACATATTCTTATTAAAATATTCACAGATTTTTTTTCCTTCTGAATGAACTCGTGCCATTTTTATCCTGTTTGTCAACACGTGTGCTTGTAATTTGCCTTGACTTTCCTTACTTCAGAAATGTGCCTTAAAAAGGATTTACACGTTGGGTGGCAGTGCAGAGCTCAGGTCACTGTTCTAGAAGATGCATCATAGCAAGCAGCATCCCAGCTCCTGCAGGGCTCCTCAAGGCCTCCTGTGTGTGCATGAAGGATCCTGAGGCAGTTGGTGTCTTCTGGCAGTGAATGGAATCAGCTTGGACTGCAGCAAGTTCAGGGCCTAATTCAGAGTCAGAGCTATGGCACCAGCGGAGAAACTGAAGTGATCGAGTTAGTCCTGGTCTGCTGCTTAATTTACCAGGATTTTCTTCCAGTAAGTTTCATAACGAGCTGCACCTACAAAGCATGATCTGGAAGGCTGCACAGAATGTGCTGCAGTTTAAGTCATACAGAAAAGCCACAACACAAAGTGGGAGCGTGAGGGTTTTAGAAATTATTCAAGCACCCTACTATGCAGGAGAGCTGCCTGGCCTGAATCAGTGATTAAAAGTACCTCATTGTGAAGCCTAAAAGTGCAGCCAAGGACTTGAATACAGCCGGAGCATCTGGGCTCTCCTGCTGCTCTGGAGCCTTATCACAGAACACCACTTGGAATGGATTCTGTACAGCACTGGCCAGTCGCTCACCTTCTCATGCAGCAAGAGACTAGTTAGGAATTAAAACCTTTAAAGTGTTCAGTGCAGCTTCTGACCATCTCAGACAAAAGCTAATTTACAGCTCTGCCTTTTCACATATGCAAGTGCTGCTGAGAAAGCAGTTAATACTGAATCTTGATAATTTATCTTGCAAAGCTCTGCAGTTTGGAAGACTTTCTCCTCATGCAGATATTTAAAAGTTGTAGTTCTAAACCCACCACAAATGAAAACAGCTAACTGAAAGCAGAACTCCCAATATCTTTACTGCTCTGGAAAGAGAAGCCACTTCCATCAGTCTAGCAATTTGTCAGTGAGTATCTGAAATGGAGATGTAGAGAAGAACAACCCATGTTCATCAACAAGTCAGTGGAATCAACACTAAACCCATTTTATTTCTCAGCAGAGATACGGGCAAAAACTACACATTCATATGCAATGTAGGTCATTGCATGGTGCTATTATAGAGCAGCCTAAATAACACTGCTGGATTTTTGTAGATTAGCATTCACACGTGTCCCACTGGTCTTTGTGGCACTATTCCAGGGGTTTTTGAGACTGCAAAGACTGACAGTGTTCATTTATAAACCATGTTGGTTTTTTTCCTCCCTGTAAGAAAAAAAAAAAAGAATTTTCATATGGTGCAGTGAGAATTTTCATATGGTGCAGTGGCACTTAAATCATCGTTGCTGTTGGACCTGAGAAGTCAGGACTAAAAATGGGCAAGCAAGCAGGGTGCTTTGTTGCACCCTGTAGAGTTCTCATTTTGTGTTTAGTAAAATTAAAAAAAAAAAAAAAAAGGATTAGAAAGGAAACTGCAAAAAGTTACAGTGGCAAGTTATGAGGAAATAAAGCACTTGGTGAGGCAGGCTGCACTGTGAGCCACTCAGGTTCTTATCAGCTCTAGAGTTATGAAGTGAAACTTACCTTAGACCTGAGCATTCAATACAGCAATTCAGATGAATATAGAGATAAATGAAAATAGAGATAACAAATCGTTCATCTTTACACAAAGGGATATTTTTCTAGATTGTTATTTTCATGTGGAATGAGAATTTGCAGAATTCCTGTTTCTGGGCAAGTAACTTAGACACAGGCACATGGTTTTGGGGCCAAGTTAATAGGTGACAGATGTTGTTCTTTCTTGAGCTACTTCTCTTTCCTTTGATTTTGATGTTAGGCACTCTCCTTGTCAGAGAATATGAACATCTGGCTAGGATTTTTTTTCCTTCTTCTTGCCCTTGCAGTGTTAATTATTGCCTCATCTAATCAAAGTATTTCCCTTTGTGAGGAGAATTTACCATATGTACATGATTTCAAAATATGTCATCTCTGTAACCGTTCTTAGGGATTTATCCTGTGAGAGGTTCATCCTGGGTTGTAGCAGTGGTTCCTATTTCAGTTAGATCTGGTCAGACATAATTCAGAGTGGGTTTTAGGAGTCTGCTCCTTTTTCTTTGTGGGCTGTAGCTCTGCTGGAGGTAGGTTCTTAAAAAGACAAAGATACAGCACACCTTCGTTAAGTAGAAATCCTCTCAAGTGCAGAATGAATTAATCCACTTTCTAGATGCATCAGAACTCCTTTGTGCTCACCAGCCGTTCAACATCTTATTTCTTCAACTGTCTTTCTACCAGACTGACTTTTCTACCCATTCCTATTCCTATTTCCTATTCCTGTCCTCTTATTGTTCATAAAACATCATCTACAAAATATCACCCATGTAGCGTCTGCTGTGGGTTTGTGTCTTTGTAACTCACTCAGATGGCCTTGCAATTGCATTATAGCCTGTCCCTACTCACTGGGGATACTCCATATGATTTCCAGGTACATCTTGGAAGATCTGGCCCTTGGTCTCTGTTATCAAGGTCGATAGCTACACTAAAGGTTGAATTTTCTGTATTTTGAAAGGACCTGGTAGCTCTGACCTGGAGGCAGCTCTGCTTGTTCATCCTTTTGCAAGGATTTAGTGCAGCTTAAGGTTTGAAAGGTTTGGCTCAGAGTAGCATGAGATGTTGATGCTAGAAAGCTGAAACTGTTGGAAATTTATCGTGTTTTCAAAAGAAAAAAGGTCTGTGGTTGTCAGCCCTCCCCCCTGGCAGATGTTTGGCCCCCGAGTGCTTCTTAGGGCCACACAAACACACACGATGTGACCTAAAGCAAATGCTGCAAGCCTTTCAGTTAGGGTATGGCACTGCATTGTGCTAGAGCAGGTATCTGATGAAAACAGATAGCATTTTTTTTCTTTGATATTATTTGTCTATTAATTAGTAATAGGTTAATATTAATAACTGTTAGCTATTTATAATTTGACTAATATATGACTATTGTCCAGAACTTTTGTTTTAGATCTGTGGAAGCTTAAGGCCAAGTGACACTCACTACCTTCAGGTGGTACCTTTGGGTGGCAGCATGAGGAAGGACGCTGAGATACCCTCCCCTTGGTGTAGAAGGAGGACAGCAGCACTTTGTTGAGAGGAAGTCAGAAATATGTAGAAACATATACAGAGAACATAGTGACATGAGATTGATGTGGAATTTATGAGCAGAGTTTCAGAATGAGAACAGTCTTTTAAAGTTAGTACTGTGAGACGATGGGCCCATACTCCTCTTTCACATAGTCCCATACTCCTCTTTCGCATAGTATCTTGCTATTTCATGATCTCTAAACCTAGATAAACCATCAGGTTTGGCCTTAGCAATGCAGTCCTGGCTGAAGAGTTTTATTAGGAAGCTGTAACCCTTAAAATCTCATAGATATGATCTTGAGGAGATTCCTTTCTGGTTGTTTTGGAAACAAAACAAAGACCCAGAATTTGTAAATGGTTCTGCATGGACATAACATTATGCCGTGCAAAACATTTTTCAGGTTTGACATATCAGCAAGTTCAAAGTGGAAATGATTAAAAAAAAAAAAAAAAAAGTGAAATCTGCTCCCTTGGCAGGGGTTGTTGGATTGGCTGATGAGGGTGGTGCTGCTATAAGGAGCTACTAGTCAGAAGCAGGAGCAGCTGAATCTCAGGATCCCAGGAACCCAGCATGTACCAAAATAGTTTAGCAGAGATAGCCATCTGGTGGTCTCAAATACTCAGGCAAATACCTGGCTGTTCATGCAGCTCTTTGTAGCTTATCCAGTGCTATTAAACACATTAATGGTCATAATCATGGAAGTGACAGAAATGTTTGTGCAAATTATGCAGCAGAAAAGGTAAGGACACCTGAACGTTACAGGAATCAGTCATTTAAAACTATGCTTTTTTAATAGGATGCTACCATTTAGGAAAACTTTGCCCCTTTATTTGATAGCCGGACTATAGATCACAGCAAGCAAGCATAGAAGAGGACTTTGCAAGGGGCCTAGATGCCCAAGTCAAGAACTGTGATCCACGAGCTGCTTAAATTCCTTGGAGCCCTAAGAAATCCATGGATGCCTTGGGCTGCACTGGTCTTCCTGCCTGGACCATGCTGCTTTCTTACATGTAATGAAAACCAAGGGGGAAAAAAAAAAAAAAAAAGTGACGGAGAAGGTGTGACCTGACAAGTATCTTCCCAGGCTGCCTTACACCCCTGCGAGCTCCTCACAAACGTGAGTATTTATGAAGAGGCAGTGGCAGTAACTCTTGTGTTAATGCACGCCGTAGCTGCAGGCTGGACACGTGCTCAGGGAAGGAGTTCCTTCCTGAGCTCAGCGCATTGTAGATACAACACCCAAAGGTCCAGCCCCAGGAGGCAGCCCAAGCCACAGGCAGCTAAACACAAGGGAACTGGAAGGGGACACTTGTCCATTGCCCGTTTTCCTATGGGAACAGCGACTGAAGCCCAGCAGAAATGCTTCATGTAGGAGAGCAGGGGAGAGGCAGGAAGGAGCCTGAGCAGTTACAATACCCGGCGTGGAGCACCAAGGGCCAGATCTTCATCCTCATACCCTGGACACCCACCACTGAAGGCACTGCCCACATTCGCGTGTTGGAGCAAGAGCTTGGAGCTCCCTCACAGCACCATTGTCACCAGCTGGAAGAGCAGCCCTGAAGCCTTCAGCTGGGTACTGGTTCTGAGGAGAAGGGTCTTATCCTGGTATCTGCTGGATAGGCATTCAG